AGCAGGCGCCTCTGGAACTTCCCACCCAAGCTAACCAGTGTGCAGCCTATGACAGGCACCTGTGAAAGTGTCGTGTGTTTCTGCTCGAGGCTGTAAGAAAGAGAATGTGATGGATGACCAAGGATGAACTAAAAACACTGACAGTACACGTGTATCTTACCACAGATACCATTGCAAGTCTCCTTGACAAAAACATGTTAAACAAAGTTTCTTTGAAATTGCTGACCCTTGGGGAAAAACATGGTGAAACAGGACATGGGAAGAGTGAAGAGGTGGGTTTGGGTGGGTTTCCAGGTCGTTCGACATCAGAAGAGGGGCTGGACTTCAGCATTAATGAAGATTAGACACCACCTAGTGGCCAGAAGTCGAAATTCAGGATTGAGCTGGGAATCAAATACAAAACCGCATTCCCTATGCTACTTGTACTAGTCCAGAGAGAACCTCAAATATGTCTCTGCTCTAATATGTGGCCCTTACAGCCACAATTCCTAATGCACACACATTTCAAAGCCTCCTAAACTTGTCGATGTTATCTGTGGAATGAGTCATCACTGCCACTCCCATCTGTTCAGATTTTGACAAAGGGGGGCTGGTGTTGTTCATCTGTGCAGACGAGGACACTACAAATGTTGCCATGAAAATTAGGAGCAGTACAACTTCATTGTGTAACATCTCAGGGACAGAGGAATAGCCATTATCCAGTAACTTGGCTATATGAAGTCATCTGAGGTTGGGACAGTTCAGAACATTGTAATGAAAAAAATAATTTTTTTAGAATGCTAAACAAAGACAGCAGAATACGGTGATGAATCATCTGCATATCTGCATTTTATAAATTGTTATATTAGATTTCATTTTCATGAATACTTCTGGTCAAATGAGGACTTCCGATCCCCCTTCCCCCCAGCATATGGGGCTGGAGAGATGGCTCAGTTGTTAGGAACACTTATTCTTGCAGAAGACTCCGGTGATTCCCAGCATCTATACAGTGGTTCAGAAACATCTATAACTCCAGTTCTAGAGAACCCAACTTTCTCTTCTAACTTCTTAGGGTACCAGGTACATAAGTGGTGTACATATATACATGCAGGCAAAAATACTCATACACATAAAATAAATGTATCAGAATGATGTATTTTTAGTCAATGTTTGTGTTAGATACCATTATGGCATTTTTGAACAAAATAGTTTTGTGGTTCTCCCTGAATCATTTCTCCATCCCCCCCCCCCAAGCCCTTTTCTGTTCTTGTGACTCCCTACCCTACTCAGGACACATGGGACATGAAGCAATTTTAAAACAATCATTCCCACAGCCACATGTATTTCTCTCAAACCAAATGTTTTTCAAAGCAGGCGGTGGTACATGCCTGGAATCCCAGCACTCAGGAATCAAAGTGGGGAGGATCATGAGTTGGGAGCCAGCCTGGGCTACATAAAATAAAAAGAGTGTTTGGAACATGGTTTCATCCCAGGCTATACACTGGTGCCCTCAAGGGAAGGGAGGGTTACTGCAATATTTCATCAAATGGCCATGGCCAAAACATGTGTCTTATGCATGTATGTGTGACTGTCCGCCCAAGTAAAAGCATCCAAGGGAATAGCATTGCTCTTCAGCAAGATGGTGGGCATTTTCTTAAGAGAGGGGGACAAGTTAAAATCTTGGAGACCTCCAGTAGATCTGTGACATTCTAATGTGGGGCTCAAGACAAGAGTGTGAGTGCTATGGCCCATGTGAGAACACTGCCTCCAGGAAGAGCAGGTCAGTGTGGGAGAGAATGGAGATGCCAGACCTTCCCCAACTAGCTATGACTCACTGCTTACAGGGCACCTGCAGCCAGTGAAGAGAACAGAGAGGTCGGGCCCAACTGTGAGTGGCCTGGGAAAGGGCAGAGAAATAGGAGCCAAGCTAAAGGGAGGGCCAAGTGTTCCCAGTGCACAGAGGACCAGGAGAGGGCCTTGGAGCTCAGTTCCTCTGCTGCCACCTGCTGGTCCCTTCAGGAAGGTCCTTCTTCCTCTCAGGAGTGTTTCTCGGCCGTGGCCGCAACCCTCAAATCTCCATAGTGTGAACTTTGTTCCACACTTCAGTCCCTGACATCCGGGACCAGTCTTCTTTACCCACCTCTTAGCCATCCTTCTGGGAAATTTCACCACGACTCCAAACTGCTTAGGATGCCCACCCACCCCACTCATCCTGTGACTTCTGTCCCACGGCTTTTTCCAAAGACCCTCACCATCACCCCATAACCTGCTACTTAAGGCTCAAACTTCTTGTAAGGGCAATATTATGGTATGAATGTGAAATGTCGCCAACAGGCTCAAGTGTTTGAAAACTTGGTTTTCAGCTGGTGACATTCTTTGCTGGTGGCAGAGTCTTTGGGGATCTTCGGGGGTTGGAGCATACCTGGAGCGGGGCGGGGGATTACACCAAGGGTTCCAGCTGCTCTCCTTTATCATCTCCCCGCCACGCCCCATTCCCTTCCTCCCTCTCAGAAGTGAGCAAGCCTCTGCTACACCCTTGCCTCCCCTGCAATGATGGATCTCATCTCCCTAAACCCTGAGTCCAAACAAACCTTCCCCTCATAAAGAGTTGCTTTAGACAGGTATTCTACCACAGTGAAAAGAGGAGAGGAGGACGGAGAGGAAGGACAGGAGGAGGGGTGGAAAGGACAGAGGGAGGGCTCTGTGGGGAAAGAATGCACATTGCCCTTGCAGAGGGGCCTAGATTCCCAGTACCCACACTGGGTGGCTCACAGCTGCCTGGGATTCCAGCTGCAGGAGAATCCAATGGTCTCTTCTGGACTCCATAGGAACCTGTACTCATAGGCACATACCCACCCCCCCACACCCCCATTGTTTTAAAATTAAAAAGTAACCAATGCAGGCTACATGTTTACTACATTCTCCCAAGATGTTCATCTAACAGAACCCCCCCCCTCCCACTAAGGATCAACGTGGAAATCTCCCCAGGAGAGTAGTTATCCTGCTAAGTCACATCAGAAGACCTTCGCTGACAGCGGGCTTTGGGGGCAGGAATTGAGGATGTTCTGGAGAGGCTTCCAAGGTGAAAACAAGCATTATCCCTCTCCACAAATCTTAACACACCAAACGCGTGCTATAGGCCAGACTGATGCACTGCCGACTCTCAGAAAAGCTGGTCTAGACCTGTAAAACTAGTTTCTATGGTGAATACAGTCCCACTGGAGCAGACTGAAGATGTCCAATCTAACGTCCCTGCATAGGAAGAAATGCACCATGAGCACTGGGGAGCCAGGCCTGAGCAGCTTAGCCACTTCAGGCTGGGCTGAATGTTCAGTAGACAGAGGTTCTGCACTACATGTAACTTCCATAGCAATCTCACTGCCATCTTGGGGAAAGGGGACTAAACTGTGCCAGTAAGAAAGTCTGAATCTTGCTTTTTGGTGGTAGGGACTGAAGCCAGGATCTCCCGTACATGCTAGGCAAGCAGTCTGCCACTCCGCTTAACCCTAGTCCCCCTTAAACTTAAAAAAAAAAAACTTTAAAATAATAGGCCGGGCATTGGTGGCGCAGGCCTTTAATCCCAGCACTCAGGAGGCAGAGGCAGGCGGATCTCTGTGAGTTTGAGGCCAGCCTGGTCTACAGAGAGAGTTCCAGGGCAGAGTCCAAAACAATACAAAGAAACCCTGTCTCGAAAAACCAAAAAAATAAAAAAATCATTTTCCATTGTGTGTATGTGTAGACAGGCGTGCGCATGTGAGTGCAGATATCTATGGAGGATAGAGGCGTTCAACTCCCTGAAGCTGGAGTTCAAGATGGCTGTAAGCCACCACGGTGTTAGGAGCTGAACCCCGTCCTCTGCAAGAACTGTCAGGGCTTTAACTGAGTCATGTCTCTCATGCACACACACCCCTTCCCACTTTTCTTCTTAACTTTTTGAGACAGTCTTAGTTGCTCAAGGTAGCTTTAAACTCACCCTTTAGTGCAGGCTAGCCTTAAATTTGTCACCTCCTGCCTCCCAGGCAGCTGGGATGGCAGGCCCGCACAGACAGGCCTGGCTATCTTTGTATTCTGTGAGGTTGCATGATCTCTGAGGGTAGGACATCTTACGCTTCTCACAGCTCCAGCGTGAATTATGTTGGCAGCAGTTAGCATATAATTGCTGGCTCAGTTTATCCAGGCAAGCAAGAAGAATGGGTTGAATGAGTAAGCAGATACTGAACCCACCCATACAAAAACGCAGCAGGTACAAGACATGTGGTAACTTTGAGTAGCTCAAGGTTGGCTGTGGATAGAGGACAAGGCAGAAAGCTGATTCCCAACACCTTTGCCCACCTGGACCCTGTGTCCACAGCTGGCCCCTAGGCTTAGCCTCCATTTCTAGTTTTGTCCCTTTGGCAGAGACTCAGCAGTCATACAGAGTAGACCAATGGCCTTGACTCTAGGTAGAGTCCAGAGTTCTCAAAGCAAACATGTTCCCTTCCAGGCTTCCTTATTTGCTCCTCTTGGGGAAAGTTCTACTCTGTGGTTTTGGCTGTGACAGTTTGGGAGTGTGGACTCTGGTCAATTGGGGCTTTCTCTGTAAGAGATTCCCAACTGACTCTCCACGAAGGTATGTTCAGAGAAAAGTCGCAATCCTTCAAGTGTTCAAAGCAAGCAAGTAGGGATGACGGGATGGCTCAGCCGTTAGGAGCAATGGGTATCCTTCCAGAGGACCCAGGTTCAATTCCCAGTACCTACACGGCAAGTCACAATTGTCTATAACTCCAGTTCCAGGGCACCCAACATCCTCATACATGTATGTATGTATGTATGTATGTATGTATGTATACACACATTTATATGCAAAACACCAATGCACAGAAATTTTAAAAAGGGGGTCTCCAGCTGTCATGGTGCACACGAGCGCCCTCTGCTGGCAATGTGGTGATCTGCATCCAATTGTGATAATTCCCAGCCAATTGGTCTCCTCTATGACCACTCTCCTGACCCTTCTGTGTTCCCACAGAGAGTCCACAACACTCTCAGAATCAATGCTTTATTTTCTCCAGCTCCAGTGTTACAACTGTAGCAGCACAGCAAACACCTTCACATTGGAACACACTGTAGCTCACATACTCAGAAGTCACAAGGCAAAACCAGTCTTGACCACAAGCATTTTAAGACATTCAGAAAATAACACCAGGCCACTCTTATCCCACACACTGTGCGACTGGCAGCGGCACATCTATTTTTCACAGACACCATTACCCATAAATAAAGTTAAATAAAACCTTATTAGCATAGCAGTGTGTTGGAGATACAACCTTGGGAAGACATTTGGAAGATTGAGGCTGTAAAACCGGGAGGGGGGGGGTTGTGTGCACAAATACACATAAAAGTAGCTATATTTAATCCATTTAAAAATAGCCATGAATTAAGAATATTCCATTTTTAAAAGATCAATGTTTTAGTCTATAATAAATTAACACTTATCTATTAAGTGGGTGGCCTGAACATGAAAACACACACAGCTAAACTATTAACAGTGTACTCAGGTGGCATGGTCCATCCTTGGATGCCACTCCAAAGATGTCAATGACTTTAATAACCTGGTTACTGGGCAGGAGGAAGCATTTCCCTATTTAGAACTTTGCAATGTCAAAAATCCCAATCAACACACAGGCTGTAATATGCATGGGGGTGAGGACAATACCAACTTTGGAGCTAAGGGTGGTGGGGGGAATTAACCCCACAGGAATGTCAAACACTTTTGTTCAATGAGTCACAACTTTTTAACAGCTTGTTCAGATACATCACTTGCTCAGCCCATGGTGACTGGGTGTGTTGGGCTGGTTAAAAAGCCGCCTCCCCGAAGACCTACGGATCATCGAAGGGAGGGACAGCTAGGACTGGACCCCTGGATTTCAAAGTCACAGAGTTCTGAAGTTCTGGTCTTACCTCTCCATCTTACATGGCCCTGACCAAAGAAGCTATTCCAGAAGATGGCTGTAACGAAAACCCAACAGGGAATACTGGTTTTGCAGCAGGATTAGTCACCAAATGGACCAATGGATGTGGCAGGAATAATGGTTTGGACTTGATTTAAATTTTAACCTCTACGATTTGATTTGCCCTCCATTTACAGGATTTAACACTACTCAACACTAGCAGGAGAGTAGAGACAATTTCCGTGATAATAGGACACCAACCATCCTAGGACACCAAGAAGCACAGAAACTGTTACCCTATGGTATGACAGGTCAGCAGCCAGCCACCAAGCCCTCCTGGAGCACATCTAAGAACTTGAGGTGGCTCTCTCCTTCTGATCGGAAAAAGGAAGACAGCTGACCCTCATGTGATTTCTCACAGCTGCTGGACAGAAACAAAACCTATGCCCAGGGGCTCCAGGTGATGTATGGTCCCATGTGGTGAGCAAAATGTCACCACAATCCCTAAATGAAAATTCTCCAAGTACAAGCTGAATTTTTTCCCAGGAAGCTGCACCCATCACAGGAACTTAAGGTCCTCGCCTCCCCAGTGAGAGGGAGCACGCTAGCCATGACTTCCAAATGAGACCAGGGCCAACAAAATGAAAATACCAGTGTGTTCCCTGCTCATCCACAGACAAGCTGCAAGAAGGAAATTGAGCCATTCTGTCACCTCCATGAGAGTGGCAGACTAGAAGACATAAGCTTGTGATCTCAGGGATGATCTGACTCTATTTCAGAAAACAAAGCAGAGAAGACATAGGTTCTCAAATAACCCGAGACAAGGCTGCTGAGCGGCTTTGGAGAGGCAGAGAGAGGGTCCTAACTGGTGTCAGCAATGCAGTCTGGGCTGGAGGGCTGGCCTCAGTGCAGTAAGAGGCTGTGATGGCCAAGACCCAGGGCTGGAACAGATGAATGCCAGAAATATTCTAGCTATGATTTTCGAAAGTTCCTAGACTTCAGGGAAAATGGGTTAAGAGGTGACTAATAAAAACACATACCGACCAAGTTAGCTGAAGTGCTCGAGAACAAGGTCACTGCAGAAATTAGCCCTAAGACAAAGGCGGGAAATGCCTCTGATTTGCTAAGCAAATGATGGCATGTCCAGTGCTAAGAGCTGTTCAGGGAGGCACACGTTCACATCACTCTCAGGGAACACTAAGGCCAGCTGTTCTTATACTACCGGGGCCACTACCCGACAGTGCGGACAACCAGGATGTGTGGGCGTGTCCACAGAGGGAGGAAAAATCATTATTTTGACTTGTTTCCAACGTACCTTTTTCCCCCATGAAAAGAGAAAAATTAAAATATAAACTTTGTATTTATTATTTTACATTCAAGTTAAACTCCCACAGGAGGGCGCTACACATAATTTCAGGCCACATAAAGCCAGCTGGTTACTTTGGTGCCTTTTTTCCCGTTTTGTTTTACTTCTCATGATGGAAGAATTCAACCCTCTTATTTCTTAAATACAGATACACCATCCCAACTCTAATCCTATTTATGGACACACACAAGCACACACAATTTCAAAAATCTCTATGTAGAAAAATAAAGGATAAACATTATCCACCTATTTTAGACTGGGTAATGGTACTTTTATGTACATAAACTCTTCTTTACTGTATCACCGCTCTCCTCGGCGGTGTGATCTAAGCATCTAGGGAGGAGAAGCCCATGGGGATGCAGAAAAGCTACACTCCTCTCAAGAAAGGAGAAAAAAGCAACTTCTCGCTCTCCTTCCCAAGTTTTTCCCACCTACCACCGCCTGGGACTTTCCCACAGACAGCCTTCCGGGCAGTGGGGGCTGGTCCTCCCTTTCTAGGGCACCAGGCAGGGAATGAAGGGCCCGGCGCGAGCACCCTGCAGGACAGGGCCTGGGGGTGAGGCAGGAACAAAAGATGCTGGGACCACTTCCCACTGCCCGTTCCTTTAGTACAGAGTTCGATTCTCCAGCTGCCGCTTCGTAAGGAAGTACTTGAAGAACTCATAGACGGACCAGGAGATGGCGGTGGAAGGCATCTGGTAGATGATTCGAGCGTGGATACCTTTGAAGTAGCCAGCAAGGCCGTTGAGCTGGTAGACCGTCCTGAAGGCATTGGCCATGCCCGTCAACCGGCCATTGACATTGGCCAGGGAGAGCGCCATGTTCTCCTGCGTGTTGAGGAGGGTCTTGCAGACATCCAGTGGGGTGGTGGCAGCTGCAGCCAGCGCCCCGGCCAGGCCTCCTGAGATGATGTGGGACTGTGGGTTGTAGTTTCGCAGTGGGTTGACCTTCTCCTGCAGAAACTCGTAGGTGATGAAGTGGATAGACTGGAAGGGTATGTTCATGGTCAGCTGTGTGGTATAACTCCTGTAGAAGGCCCCCAACCCCTCGGTCCGCCACACCGTCCGGATACAACTGAGGGCTGACTGGTACTGTGAGTTGTACATCTGTAAGCGCTGCTTCACCACTGTGTCCGGGTCGGGAGGCGTGACCAGCAGGCAGGTGGGTTGGTTTGGCCCCCGTCCCAGATGGGAAGCCAACCAATAAAGAGAAACGAGCATGTTAGAACACACACTGGTGACAGGTACCAAGACAGCACACACATAGCCCCAGCCAAGAAGCCCTGGAGGGTCAGCTCCAGGCAGTCCACCTCAACTTTTCATTTCTGTCTCCAGGGCCCTGGGGGCCAGGAAAGTGGGTACTTCCAAAGAATTTCCTGTCTGGAGTTTGAATGAGAGGTCACCCCCAAATCAGGCATTCACTACGGGCTAGATTAGATGACCTGATCCCCAAGGTCCTAGCCTTCTACACACTCCCCACCAACATCTCCCTCTCCCTGGCCTGTCCTTGCCCCATCTATTATGAGTGTCCCTGAGCTGAGCATGGTGGCCCATGCCTTTCATTCCAGCATTTAGGAGGCACAAACTGGAGGATCCCTATGAGCTTGAGCTCAAGGCCAGCCTGGTCTACACAGGAAGTTCCAGGCCAGCTCGTGTCTCAAAACAAACACTAACCTACAAGAGCATCCCTGACTTCTCTGATTTTGATCTGTATCACGGCTCACCTGGGACAACACTAGAACTATATCTGTCCAAGCTGAGTAACAACCCCGAGTGCAGATCCTGACTTTAAGACAAAATAATCAAATAGTTCACAGCCCAGAGAAAAATGAAGAATGCTCCCTAGGATTTTAATGGCATCTACACGATGTGTTCCATCTTTAAATAGGGACCTGACAGAGGCAAGAGTAACACTAAGTGGTGAAGGGAGATGATTGAAAAGAGTGTGTGTGTGTGTGTGTGTGTGTGTGTGTGTGTGTGTGTCTGAAGACATGGTTCAAGTTTGATTTGATTCCCAGCACTGACAAAGAGGCTCACAATTGTCTGTAACTCCAGTTCCAGGGGAATCCCATACCCTCTTCTGGCTTCTGTGGGTACCAGGTACACATAAATGCATGCAAACAAAACACCCATACACATAAAAAGAATTTTTTAAAATATAAACATCCAGGTATGGTAACATTTACTTATAATCCCAGAAACCTGAAGGCTGGGGCAGGGGAACAGAGATTTCAAGGCCAGCCTGGGCTATGTCTTAAAAGCAAACACAAATACTGTTTAAATAAGCTCTTTGCTTGGTTAACATTGACCATGTGACTGTTGTTGCCAGGTCCCTGTATCAATAGTTTTTGTAAAAAGAGAAAGAATCCCAAGATATACGGTTAGTCGGTCCTTCTATATTGTGATTCTGAATCCAGATTTAAGTAACTGTATGTCAAAATAACAGGAAAGAAAGTTTTGCACCAAACATATGCAGACCTTTTTCTGGCATTATTCCCTAAGGGACATCATACAGCACCTACTTACCCAGTACTGAAACCTATGAGTCAGCCAGAGACGATTTTAAGTATGCATAAAGGCACCAAGTGGGTTTCAAATACTACCCTATTTTATAAGGAGACCCCACAAATAAAAACAAGAGTAAGAAAAGGTAGCCCCCCAAATGGCTACATGTTAATTATAGAAGTACACAGGGTTAATTCTACATAATCACTTTTTCTTGAAATTTTCCATAATCATTACAAAAAAAGGCGGGACAGGGTGTGGTGATGCATGCAGGCCAATAACCCCAGTGCTCAGGAGGCTGAGGCAGGAAGGTTTGGAGTTTGGGCTAGCCTGAGTCTCAGCCAGAGTTCCAGGGCATCCTGGGTTGCATGGTGAGATGCTACATTAAAGCAAGGAGGGGACAACTAACAATGAGTGAGACGGAACCGTTCCCTCTAAACTTGTGACTGCAAAACAATGAATAGTATCAGATGTGTACGTATATTTGTTGTGCACACCCTTGAACACACAGGTTGTACAGGAGTGAATACTGTGCAAAGTGATCCCCGAGTATTCTGCCGCAGCGGGTATGGGGCAGGGCCTGAAGAGTAGTTTCTAACTCCTCCTAGGGTGCCAGGAGGCAGACAGCTCTGCTTAGCTGTTTCCACAGCAGGAAGCACCCGGAACCTCGGTGCTCCCTGGCTGTCTTGAGACCACCCCCCCCCCCCAGTAATGTATAAAGAATGTGTTCTTCCTGTAGGCTCTGATGAAGCCAGCCCTTGACCGCTTCCTGCCCCCAGCTCCTCCGGCCTCTCCACCTATCCCCCACTGTCCCTCCCGGGAGCCGTGGGACATTACCTTCTGCCGGATTCATTACTGCATCGTGGAGTAGGGTGGCCATACTCCCAGCTATCCCTGCAAAACAAACTCCGAACAATCAACTGCTGCCTCCTGGTGTTCTGGAAAGTTCCTTGAACTTACAGTCAGATGAACTCTGGATTTAGCTTTCTAAGGCTCAAAAGTGACTAGCAGCTCAGCCCTGGTGAGCGGTTGTAGAAATGTTGAATAGCAACATGGAGCACTCCTGACTGGAGCACTGCTATACATATCTCAGAGGCTTTTTCTTTCTTGTAAGCCAACCATGGGAAAGGTTAGAGCCCAGAAACCACACTCCAGGCATTTCCCACTGTCTAGATGCTAATTCTTATCTTGAGCCCTTGGGTACAGATAGCTCTCTATACCCTGAAGTTGAGGCTACTGAAGGGGACAACATCACGCATATGGCCGGCTGCCTTACTCCAAGTCCAAGCACTCTTAGGACAGGCCATGTGACTGAACCTTATCTCAGGTCTCCCTTTGAAAGTCTGGCTTTGAAAGTCTGAACCGGACCTGGAATTTCTGCTTCTGGCTTCCTAGTGCCTTCCACTACAATGCAGGTGCCTGCTAATTACAATGACCACAGGGAGGGATGGGGGACAGACTCTAAGTCACCTCTCAGGAAGGCACCTAGGGGCTCCTACCTACTGCACACACAGACACAAAGGCAATTAATTATTCCCAGAAAGGTGACAGCGACCACAGCATTTAGCACAACGCCACAGGGATAGCCCTGGGCAGACTGCCTCCGTGAAGGAACAGAACCATTAAGTAACGCTTGACGTCATAGCTCTTGGTGACGGTCACAGCTGAAAAGACAGAGAGTGTCCGCAATGCGGCTGAATATTCTGGTTTCTCAGAATGGCTGATGGAAGGGTGCTATTCTGTCCTGGGCAGAACGAAAAGCAAGGGGGAGCTTTACCGCTGACCACACCCACTCCTATCTTACGTCGCTCTACTACCCAAAGTCCCTTCCCACCCACTGAAAAGCCCATTAAACTCCCACCCCATGCCACCACCAGGCCTGGTTGATTGGCTCCCGCCTTAAATACACATTGCCCACAAATGCCCAATCCCCATCCACCCGTCCTCCCTGGATCAACGACAGGAGACTAGTTCGGCCCTGGCTTGCAGAAAGATACGACTCAGACACACGGAGGAGGCTGTGGGGGGTCAAAGGCCCGAATCTCCTGCAGCTTAAAGCGGGGAAGGCCTTCCGCAGTGGCACGAGTCCTCTGTCAGCAAAAAACGTCTTGACCTTTCCAAGCTTAGTTAGATCCTGGTGCTGGAGAGACCTGTTGTACCAGTTTTTTTAAATAGTCTCAAAGAAGCTGTCCTTTTCTGTGGTTTGTTTTGCATCCAGCATTCAAGAGAATTTTTTCCTATGACTGATTATTAATTGTGTTGAGTGGTTTTTGTAAGACAAAAAAAAAGGCTCATAGAACAATAAATACAAACACCTCTACCACCAGCATCCCCCAGAGAAAGAGGGAATGAATAAAACATGTGGAAGAGTGCATGTGTGTGTGTCTATGTGTGTGTGTCTATGTGCGTGCATTCGCGTGACCCTAGAGTTCTCTGTTTCTGAACAAGCCGCTGAAGGAAGCAGAAGGCTGCTGGGTCCTGGGGAGGAAGGCCCAGGGAGCAAGCACTGAAGAGAGGAGCTTCCTAGCTCCGGACAAATGCTTTCAAAATACCATTAGCTAGATGGCTGTTTCCTTGGTGGCTGAAAACGTCATTTAAAGTCCTTTTCATGTTTTCGTAGCAGGCAAAATACATGGCGTGGGCGGGCCCTGCACCAGCTATCATCACGTTCAGGCCCTTCAGGGGCCTCCAGAAGCCTTCCGTTTGAATGATCTTCTTGAGGGCGCCATAGATGCTTGTGTACTTGGCTTTGGGATCTGGGTTCAAACTCTGCATTCGTGTCTGCGGGAGACAGAAAACAGGTATGAGCAGGGGCGTCGATATGTAGAATGACAAGGGGGGAAAGACAACCCAGAGAATAGAAGGAGGGCTGGAGAGATGGCTCAGCCATTAAAGGCGAGGCTCACAACCAAGATTCTAAGAGAATAGAAGAAAAGGAGGTTGGTTCTCATGACTTGGTGAGAGGGGAAAAATATGAAAAGTGCTCTCGCCCCCATAAATTTTCCACAGACTTGCATCTGAGAAGCCTTCAGAGCTTCCAGAAAAGTCAAGCAAAGATGGGGGCATAGGTAGCAGAATATGAATAAGCTCCCTACTGAGTCCTGCCATCGGTCAGCTGCCATGGGTGGCTTCTGTTAGAGCCATTAACCAATGAAAACCCATATTTATTATGAGCAAGCATTGAAACAATGCCTTTGAAAACCCTTAATGAGCTCAGACTCTTGCTCCCCTTTCCTCCTAAGAATACCAAAATTCACGAACATTTAAACTTGTGTAAAAATGCAGTGGTACTTCAACCTACATCTGTTCCCTGATGTAATGAAAGCGCCATATACAGGCCACAACATGTGGCTCCACTGGTAGAATGTTTACCTCTCATGCACAAAGCTTTGGGTTTGAGCCCCAGCACCACACACATAAACCATGTTTGGTGGCCATGCTTGCAATCTTAGCACTCAGGATATAAGAATCAGGAGTTCAAGGTCACACTCATCTACATAGCAAGTCCAAGGCCAGCCTACGCTACAGGAGTCTCCACAAAGCCAAACAAATAACCAACAATAAAAAAACAACTAGCAATTAAAACCTGCCACCACCACCAAAAGGAAATGATATAGGAAGTTATTAGCGTGTACTCTTCAGGGACTAATGACAAGATCTAATGGTCTGCATGTGTTTAATACAGGTGCACACTTTTCTGAATTATGATGTACATCTGGTTGCAGCTGCTTATCTCAAGAAAGCCAACTGAGTTATCAGCATCCTTCTGGTTTACTCTGGTTCCCAGCAGCCTTCTTCTGGTCTACTCCGGTTCCCAACACCCTTGTGGTCTATTCTGGTTCCCAGCAGCCTTCTTCTGGTCTACTCCGGTTCCCAACACCCTTGTGGTCTATTCTGGTTCCCAGCAGCCTTCTTCTGGTCTACTCCGGTTCCCAACACCCTTGTGGTCTATTCTGGTTCCCAGCAGCCTTCTTCTGGTCTACTCTGGTTCCCAGGTCTTTTGTACCCTTCTACATCTGAACCTCTGTGTCCTGACAATTATTTCTCAGGCACTACTAGGAAATCTCCCCAGATCCTCTGGGCCTCACCCATACCGTCACCTCTAAGTATCTTTTACACTATGTTTTTGTGAAGCAACAGTCAATAAGTTAGGCCTTGCTCTTATATTTCCTGGGTGCAGAATGGTCTTCGTGAGGAGAGGCCATGGCTTCCCTGGCTCTGTTGGCCTCCAGACAGGTTAATTTTGTTATTTCAACCTGGCTAGGCTGAGATACCCAAATACCTGATCAAACATCGGTGTACTCTAGATGATCCTCTAATATTTGTTCTGTTTTGTTTTGTTTAGATAAGGTTAACAATTAAAGTCCGTTGTCTCTAACTAAAGCAGGTCACTTGTGTGATGTTGGTAGCTGTCCAGCCTGCTGGCCTGCCCTGCAGGTTAGGAATGTGCAGCCCCTACTGTGACGTGGACCAGTTCCTTAAAACAAATCTCTACAGAGAGAGACAGAGGTCTGTGCACATATCCTTCTCGGCCTTTTTCTCCGGAGAGTCCTGCTTACAACATCAGTAAGAGATATTCAAAACACTTGCCAAATAGTGGACACTCATTCCTTTCTTCTCTCCTTCCTCCACACGCCCCCAACCCCAGCCTAGAAGAGGGGAATCTTCAACCTTTGTAGGGAGTATCCTTTAATTCCCAAGCAAAACCATATATAACACCTAATGTATAAACTGAAAACAAGCAAAGGGTTCCACTGTGGTACTTCCCTTCCACTCCTCCAAACAGCCCCACCACCCATCCCCAGATGAACACTGTAAAAAGCATCAGTCTAAATTAGGGCCATTTTCAGGTTCCAGAACTTTCTGGCCCCTAAAATCGCAAAGAACATGGACACATTTTTGCCAAAACCCAACAACAACAGTTACATCCGTAACCATTTCCTTAAAAAAAAGTGCATTTTTAATGCTTAATAGATAGAAAGAGTAGGGGGTGGGGGGCAAAGGCCTAGTGGTAGGGGTCTGTAATCCCAGCTACTCAGGGAGCTGTGAAATGAAGATCCAAAGCTCAAGTCTACTTAGAAGGCCAGGTGGAAGTTCTGGGACAGCCTCCAAAGCCACAAAGAAACCCTGTCTCGAAAAACAAAGAAACAAAAACAAAAATTTAAAAAACCCTACAATAAGATATGAGAAGAATGAAGGAAAAGAACAAATGAGGTTACACGAATATGATGCAGAGCCATGCACACACACACACACACACACACACACACACACACACACTAACCAGACAAAGGATTTGCCTGTCTGAGTTTCATCATCACCATCATTTTACATCTATTTGTGTACATCCATGTATGTGTGCGAGCAAGCACGTGCCCTGGTGCACATGTGAAGGGGAGAGCAAACTTTTAGGGATTAACTCTCCTTCTATCAAGTGGGCGGTGGGGCTCACACTCAGCCCACAAGGCGCTGCAGCAAGTGCCTTTCTCCAGCAAGTCTCGTCAGCCCATCTGGAGTTCAGCTCCTGCAGTGGACCTCGCTGCCTTTCTTTACACAGTCTCCATGTTTGGGCTGTAATTCCTACTCCTTAGAATTTCATGACACACATCAGCATGTGGTAGGCTCTGGGAAGGCCTTCAGGAAAGAAACCTGTTTAGTTAGTTTTAACCAGGCATTTCCTAAACATGTGTCTTTGGCAGCACAAGCGGTTTTCCTCATTTAATAAGCAGTTATACTTGGCCAAGCACACTTGTGAAAACACAGCTGGAGCCAACAGGCAAACCTCTGAGGCAGGAAATACAGGGAGTCTGCATGTGTCAGAGACCCTGGGGCAGCCCCTATAAAGGAAGGACAGAGGACAGGATGGTCAGCAGGGAGCAGTCTGGAGACAACAGGGAGGAGCCCACAGCAGGTGCAGCCTCTTCTGCACTGAGCTTTCTCCCGCCTCCTCCTGCACGACTGCTCTTCACTCTCAAGGGGGCAGCAAACAGCAAAGTGCGATGTGGCTCTGGCCTAGCTGTCACTCAAGAGTGTGGCACCTTGGGAACCAGGAGCTTGAGTTGTAAGAGGAATTTCAGGGAATGACACATGCACGGACCAGGCTCCTTCTATAAGCTTCCAGAGAGCTTAAGCGAGGGACTCCCTCTTTCCCAAACCCTCCCTAGGACAAAACTGGTAGGCTGTTCTCTTACCCAGGGGAGGAGGGAGAGTGGAAAATGTGTACGCTGTCTCAGGTGAGCTAGTAGATCATATAACCAGAGGCAATGAGCCTGTGGAGCTCGCTCAGCCCTGTCTTTAGATAGAAAACCAGGAACCCATAAACACCTTCCCCATCACCTGATCCATGGAGAGTAAGGAAGTTGGGTCCAGCCCCAAAAAACAGGTAGAAAAACCTGGAAGGGAGACCTCATATCTCTCCCTTTTGGGGAGATCTGGGCTGGGACGCTGGCCCAGCCCAGGCACCAGTGTGTCATCACCAAACCACTGACTCTGCCCGAGAGAAGCTGGTGACTTTCAATCTCCCATCTCACATTTCTCAAAAGAGGGTGGAGAGCAGACCTTCCCGGGTTCAAGGTACACGCAGCATTTCCAGGATCAGAAAATAATGTGAAAGCTAATAACAGTGGGGATACAGCTAGGGAACAGGCTCCCAGGCCCCGGTGTGATTATATACACACACAACTTCTCTAGGGACCAAAGCTGAGCTGAGAATACCCAACAACCTGTGTTCCGGAGAGCTCCCAAAGAAAGGAAGTAAGGGAAGGCACCCAGGAAAGGCTAGAAAGCTGCCAGACAGCTGTAGCCTCCACTGCCAGGGCTGACTTGGGAATACAAAGTTAGACTGGTAAGTTCCACATTAGCTGTCCAACAGCAAGCAGCAGAAAGCAAGCAGCAGAAACTTGTTACTAGACCCAATCTCGCACGCACAGACGCACGCACCTGCCCAGCTCAAGCACTGTACTGTGATCCCTCAACACTGGGAGCTGAGGCTGCTCTGCAGACACACAAGGCCAGCTTCCACCAACAGCCGCCCACTGCACAGAGGATGGCCCAGGAGCTCACTCCCAAGTTGAGATCTCCCCATGACTCACCCCACTACAGATCACAGCCCAAGGCCAGCAGGAAGAGGCTCCTCTGGCCAAGTGTCCTGTGGGAAGCAATGTCTTCTGAAGCAAAGCTATACTCACCCAGGCCTTGGAGAGCCATGTCCCTTCTTCCAAAATCTTTGACGGGTACATACTACAGACTGGGAATCCCAAAACATGCAATGAAGCCCTCAATACTCAACCGATGCCTCAAACTACTCATGTCACCGACACACCAAAACCCTAACAGATATCCTAAGATACCAGCACTTCTAACCCACAAACACCCCTAACCCAACACCCTAACACCACTAAACCACCAGTACCTCTAATTCTACCAGCACCCTAACTCACCAGCATCCCTAACTCACCAACATGGCTAAATTAGAACCTGACCCTTTTGTCTTCAGAATTCCTGTGTAAGCAGCCACCATTTTCACACACCCACTAAGCAAGGATGAAACTGTAACATCCACAATGCTCTGCACACACCCAAGTTTACCCATAAACTCTGAACTCCCAACTCAGGCTTGGCTCTTTTTTTTTTTTAAATTAACTTTCAAAATTAGCACACAAAGAACTGAATTACCGCATTTTCACACGAGTCAGTATGCTTCATGCCCCGTGCTTCGGTTTTATACCATCCAACTTAGAAACCACACATACACAGAACAGACTTGCCTATCCAGACGTACG